TATAAGTTAAAAGAGTTGAATATTTTTAGTAGCACTAATATAGTTTAGAACAAATAAAATAAAAAATTCAGTTTTTGCAAAAAAGATTGCTATTCATTTGAGGAATTTAAAAGTATTATATAATAAGTATTGCTTGCTATAATAAAAGTATAATTTTTTAAATTTTCAATTTAAAAATACCTGTGCTAAGTGAGTAAACAAGATTCTGTACAAATTTTAATAGCTGCAACACAGACCAATAAGGATAATTTATTTTATAAACATTGAAAAATTAAAGCAAAGGTATAGTTAAGTTACTAACATAACAGTGCCAGATATGCATATTAAAGGGTTTAAGACTTGTATACAGGAGACTTTATTCGTTGAGTAAATAAATGATTACCTGGTAAAATATTAACATGAGGTAAAAGATTTTCTTCAATTTTATGCACCATTTCTATAAAATGATTAACTGATATATCTAATTGAAGTTCATTTACAACCATCTTAGCTCCTTCAATTTCTGGAGCACCTAAGACTCTATAACGTAAATCTAAGTTATAGATTTTTCCAAATTTAGCTACAACATCAGATACAGCTTTTTTGTGAATATTTTCAGTGTCTATGAATAAAAATTTCACAAATTAAGAATAATTCATATACAGAATAATTCTTTTAAAATTAGACACTGTATTCCTCTTAAATTAATAATTATGTTAACAAGATTATTTTTGATATTTTTTAGTTTTAGATATTTCTTGATTTATCAGTTAGTAAGTACTTTTTTTAGTTCATCTCTTATACTATATAAGAGTGTCAAATTTAATTTTTCAAATGACAACATATATAGAGTGTTCAGTAATAAGGCAAGGGGTTTCTTTTGTTCTCATTATTTAAAAAAATTGACCTGTTTCCTTACTTTTTGAATACCTGTATAATTAACTTTATTAGATGAATGACAGTTTTACTTCTATTTCCTAAATTTAACACGCTACAAAGGGTAGTAGTCATCTTTCACATGTTCGGCAGTCAAAGATGGTTTTTGGCTTGTCCAACGATGGACGGAACGAGTATTATGGCCAGCTTGCACTAGAGACCAGACACCACCTATAAGAAAAACACAAGAAAAATCTCATTGGCACACTGGGGATCGAATCCGGGACTGCTTGCGCCGAAACATACATTTCTAACTACCCCAATTAACTTTATTAGATTTATTTATTAGAACTTTAATAATTTTTGGATAAGTATTTCAAAAGTTATTATTAATTTAAAGTATTGACTGTAAAGTATGGGTGCTGCTATTTTTATCACTAGACATTTCTCGGCCTCACTCCTCCTTCCAGCATAAAAATTTTAATGATTTCTAAAATATTGGTCCAAAAGTTGTTATATTTTAAAAAAATTTTAATTAATTACTATCTAATAAATAAGGTATGTAATAATAGATTAAGATTTTTGAAAAATTGAAGTTGACCGTTATAAGGTGTAATAGATAAACATAATAAATATTCTATAACAGATAAATGATAATACATATGTAACCAACAAAAGCCAAAAAAATTATTTTAAGAGAAATTAAGTAGCCAATGTTAAAAAATCATCCTGCAGTTATAAATTTATTTTTACCTAAAAGTACACCATCCATATCAAAAATAACATGTGTTACTGGATATAGTATCTTTCTAGAACTCAAAGAAAAAGTTCTACAAACACTTTTAACTATATTGACCTTTTGAACTGTTATAAGTCCTAAAAATCAAAGAATATCCTATAATTAGATTAATTGATTTTATAAAAAATAATGGTTTTATAAAGTAAAAGTAAACTGATATGAATTAATGACATCTCTTCTATATATTTTAAGTTAAAAGTAATTTAATGCATAATGACCATAAAAGTTTCAAGTGGAAAAATATGCCTTAAACCAAATTGCTATCTTTTGTTTATGATAAAACTTAACAAAATTTTTACTAAAACTCTACTGCAGTATTTATACTAAATGTAATGTATCAATAACAATTAATACATTAATTTATAAAAAAAATAGATTTAGTCTGATGTTGACTAAAACAAATGAATGTATTATATTTCCATTAATGTATCCCAAGTTTTATAATATTTATTATGTTTTAACATGATATAAATTAAGGAAGAAGTCAATTAAATTCTTAAAATAATTAATTTTGAAATATTTTATATTATAACTTACTGTTATTATAATAAAACTATGACTTTTCAATGTTTAAACTATTCATAACATTAAAATATATACTTTTAAGATGATTAAATTTATCCTTAAATTTCCTTCCTTTAAAAATAATCTTCATTTCTTCATTTTTTAAATGTATGATTTAATTTTTATTATCTTATAAAACAGCAATAAAGAACCAAATATACATTTATTTTATAAGTAAACAAGTTCAATTTTAATAATATAAAGATTTCAAGTATACAGTTTGCTTAAATATTAGTAAAATATTATCAATTTATATTTTTGACACATAATTCAAGGTATATTAGTTAAAGACACACATTAAACAAATGTTTAACTATTCAATTTTGTGTAATTTAATCCTAATTTATGAGGTTTGGTAAGACCAAGGAGTATTATACACTAAGTTATTGAACTTTTTAAGTTTTCTATAGAAATGATAAAAAAAACCTACTTACTCATTTTCAAATAATATAAATAGTCTTCTACAAGTTATAAGACAAATACACTATATTTATTTTTTAATATAAATTGATAAGAGACTAGAATGTTAAAAAACAGCTGACATAAAAAATGTTAATAAATAACAATGGCAAAAAATTAATAAATACCTATTTAATATAAGATCCTACATTGATGAAGCTAATATAGTTACTTATAACTATAAGATAACAACTTAATTAGTTTCAAAATTGTTAAAAACTAATTAAAAGGTGGTAGTCCAAAATCTTCTGGCTTGAAATCTTCAAGAGATGTTATCACTTGAGTAGCATGAGTTGTTTTTTCGATTGGGATAATTTTATCTGGTACCATTACAACTTGCATTCCAGCCTTTATACCAGCAGTTACTCCATTTGGAGCATCTTCGAATACTAAACACTATGATTTACCAAATAAAATTCATTGAATTTAAATACTTAACACTAAATATTAAATACCATACATTTTTGGAGTTAGGTTTATCTTTAAAACGAGTAGCACAAACTAGAAATATATCAGGAGATGGTTTACCCTCTTTCACTTCTGGATCAGCACTTCCTAATACAATATGATGAAATTTTGAAAACAATTCCTGATGGATAGCCGTTTTTACTTTAAATGTTTCTTTGCCACTACTTGTAGCTACAGCTATTGGCACATTACTTTTATGTAAATGAGTAATTAATTTTTCAGCGCCTAAAACAATTATATGATTAAATTAAAAATATAATTAACAATAACAGATTTTAAAACCTGGCATTAGTGGCACATTGGTCATTTTTTCTAATTGATTAATATAAAATTCTGCCATCAAATCATTAGGTGCTACTTCCATACCAAGTTCTTTTATAATAATTGAGGCTGTATTAATTGGTATTGTTCCCATTACTTTTAAACGCAAGTCATTTGTATAAACTTTTCCATATCTATTTAGTACTTCAGTAATACTTTCTAAGTAGACTTTTTCTGAATCTAAAATTCATAAATTATTTTAAAATAAATTTTTAATCAACAATCAAAATAAAAGTACTTGCCTAATATTAAGCCATCCATGTCAAAAATAACGTGTGTTACTGGTAAAAAAGACATACTGAATTCGAATTTTTATTTTATATTAGAAATATGCAGTTATAGGTAAAATATTTCTTTTAAAATCGTCTAAAGCAATAAAATTTGAAATTGTAGGATTTAATATTTCCCACGTTTTAATAAGTATCCGTAATAATTACTATTTAAAAAGAATTGAATTGAACATTATACAGTGGGTAAATGTTATCAGTATTTATAAATCGGTCATAAAAATGTATATTATCATAATAGATATATGCAAAAATTATTTTGTTTCTGAATAGTTCTGACTTCAATAATATTTTAATAACTTATACTATTCTTAAACCTTTTGAAAAAGTATTGATAGTAAATTTTATCTACGTGGATTTGACTTATATTACAATTATTACCCATGTAAATTTAAGTCACTATTGAGACGGACAATCAGTATAAAATCATAAAATTCTATTTATTCTAAATTTAACTTTTAATCCGAAAAGCCAAATCCCTACCTCATTAATCATCATAGGAATAAAATGTATAGGTTATATAAAAATCAGCTGACCGGGGAGCTTTTAGCTTTATCTAGATACTTAGGAATATATCTAGTGTCTGTGCTTCAATGCATGGTGTATTTTGGAAATACAACCTTAGAATCGCTATCTAGGTTTTCGTTTGAAAGTGGTAGCCGTTTGCCGCCGCTTTCACGTCTTTATCATTCAATACCTAAATTATATTAATCAAATTCAACTATATCATATAAAAGCAAAAATGTTTTTTCGTTGTCTACACTGAAACAACTAGTTGCTTGTTCAGTCCAAACATTGATAAGGAATATTCATGTTATGATTAAAACTTATATAGATTATTAGAGAATTTCTACAATACAGTAAACTGTTTAGCGGTTACTAAAATAAACAATTTATTTATAAGATGGCTAAATCTCGAAATGGATTAACTGCTGTAGGATTATCCGTTCTAGGAACACTTTTTGTTTTATTAGCTTTTTGTACTAAAAGTTGGTTGGTGACAGATGGCAAGTTAGAACACCCAAAATTTGAAAGAATTGGTAGGTTACGCCCAAACTGTTAATTAATAAATTTGTATTATTTACATTATGTTTAAAGAAATTTTGTTAAATAAATATTAAATTTAAGTCTATTAAAAGGATTTAACGAAAAATATTATAAAGACATAATAAACAAGACTATATAATTTCTATATGAATAAAATAAAGTTATTGAACTAATTTAAAAATTAAAAGTGTAGTTTATATTTATTGTATAAAAAATTTGAATTTAGAAAATTTTATCTATTATTTACAAGTTATATGAATAAAAGTTTTATAAATTTTGAAGATTATCTAAACTACTTTATTGTTTAATTTTTAATTTTTTACAGGATTATGGGTAGTTTGTTTTAAAGATTTTGAAGATAGTCATCATTGGTATGATACTAAGTTTGGCAACTGTTGGTGGGTATTTGAAGAAGAATACTACATCATATATGATGTGCTATTTAAAGGTATGGTAATTTGCATTAGTCATTTATTTTTACTAAATTAAAATGAAAAATATTTTTTTTATTAAAAAACACTTTTTAATAATTTTTCATTGTAGGTTTTTATATTGCTGTACAAGTTTGGTTTTCTATTTGTGTTCTTCTAACAATTTGTGGATTATTTTACACATCACTTTATATGTACTTGAATAGAGCAGTAGAGCACTATGTTAAAATATTATTTACTGCTGGAGGACTTTACTTAGCTGCTGGTAAATTACTTAATTATAATTTATATTATTTAGAATGAGAAACCAAATAAACTGGTAGTTAGTGACTATGCTCCTTAATATTATGAAAGTGTAATGTAAAATTTTAAGATTTGTTTACAAGTCAAATTTANCTGGTAGTTAGTGACTATGCTCCTTAATATTATGAAAGCGTAATGTAAAATTTTAAGATTTGTTTGCAAGTCAAATTTAGTAATAACTGAAGCAAAAATCAGTTAACACTCAAAAAAATTTGGTACATAATTTGTAACAGCCTTATTATAAAAGTGCTTTATAAATCACTAGTTATTTTGGTCTTAACTCTAATTTTACATATATAGTATATATTTATATAAATTTTATTTAGCAATGTGTAGTACTATTGCTTTGATTATGTTTGGAATTCATGGAGATAGTAGAGTTTGGATGCCTCATTGGGAGCATAATGATATTGGTTGGAGTTATGGAGTTGCAGTTGCAGGAACTATTGCTTTTTATGTTAGTGCAGTACTGTATATTATTGAAGGACGTGTTCATAAAATTAAGCGTAAAAAGATTGCTATACAAAGAGCAAATTATGATTATGACATAGAACCACATAAACAATCCTCTCACACTGCTATATAAACTATAATGTTAACTTAAATTATTAAAAATTATTTTCCTGGTTTAATTGTACAAACTCTTATAGACATAATTTTATAATTTATAACAATAATTTGTAATTGCAATGACTTATATTGAATCTAACATTTATATGACACTAATTATTTTAGAAGAAAAAAAAGTTTCTTTTTTCTTTATGTATGTTAAATTGATAGTTATTTCAAATGTTAGTGCACAATGATTTAAGATGTATAGAAAAATAGTATTACAGTATTATTTTGTAAAATCCTAAATTATGTAAATTAGTTAAAAGTTAAATTATTTAAACTTAAATATAAATATTAAGTTTTGTGAATCTCAAAAATATTTTTTAAATGCTTGAAACATTGTCCGTCCAAAATTGTGACTGTAATTTAGTAAATATTACTTTAAAATCATTATTTGTAATTTATATTTATACTGTTATATATTATTATATGCTTAGTGAAAATAAATATTTTATTCTTAGTCCTAAATATTTTTTGTAAATTTTACATAAAGATTTCTATTATTTAAAAATATTAAAAGCTATAATTTTTAAGATTAGGATTGTGATTTATCTTATTAATAGATTTTTTTAATTTTATTAAATTCACAGTTAATTATTATTATTGGAAAATCAAATTATTTTAGTGAACACTTGAAATTTTTCATCATAAAAAGAAAGTATTGCTGATTATTTTATATCTCCATCATTTAATGTAATATTAAAAGTTTTTAATATTTTGATTCAACTTAACTAATAAACTTTAGATTATTATATAAAAAAAAACGTCAAGTTTGTAAGCTAATATGCAATTTCTTTATGTATTATTTGAATAATTTATGATTTTTATTAAATAAATAAACTAAACTTTAATAAAATATTAATACATTATTTCAATAATCAGTGAAAATGTATTTAATGTGTTTTAATTTTTAATATATATATATATCTTGATTTTTTTTATAATTATT